CCGGGACCAACGGCTTGGTCACGCCGTTCGCCGTGAAAGTTCCGTCCCTGAAGCTGATTGCCGCGTCCCACTCTGCCATCTCGTCAGGGCCGACGAGACCGGGCACATCGGCATCGACCTCGGAGATCACAACCTCGCACTGCGTACCGTTGATGCCGACAGTGTAGCGCCACGCACGCTCTGACATGAGCGGCACACCTGGGCCGAACTTGAAGTACTCGTGCTGGTTGATGCTGTGGTAAGGCACGCCCATGGCATCCAAGGTCTTCTGCAACTCGACGTGCCACGGACGTCCACCGACAGCGCGCTTGCAGCCCGTATCAATCATAACCAGCCCCACGGGTAAGACAACAAGCATGACGGCCCGCTCGTCGATCGCCTCGCGAGGGCGCTCATCTCGGCTAGTGACCATGTGGGTTGCAGATCCTCCCTTTGCCGCCCAGGGGTCCGCGCGCTGCAGTGGGTCCTCCTCATCCGCCTTGGGCTTCTCCAGCGTGTAGTGGATCACCGACTTCAGCGAGCACTTCTTGCACTTCGCGAAGATCACGATGCCGTTCGACTGCCACTTAAGCTCGTCAGCCGGATGAGGACACGCAGCCTGCTGCTGCATGAGCTCTGGGTCGAACTTCGCCTTCGGACCTGGGACCAGCCTCTCGCCGTCGAACTGCGAATCGTACATGGCTCGACGCATTTGCTGCTTCTCCAGGTCGCTCTGCGTGGCGCCGGCGCTCATGACGTAGCTCCGTCCAGATGCAGTGACTACGCGCGGGGCTCCAGATGCAGCCGGAGGTGCCGTCGCAGCGGCAGGCGCACCTGAGCTCGCGACTCCGGGGCTGGCCGCACCTGGAGGCGCTGGAAGATGAGCACGTCGTCGAACTCCCTCCATGTTCTTCCATACGTTTCCGACCCCCTGCTGCTCGGGAGATGTAGGCAGAGCGCGCTCAGGCGGAGGTGCCTGCTCGCGACGCCTCTGCAAGCCGTCGTAGACCTCGCCTGGGTTCAGCCGGGTATGCATCTCCGACTCCTGCTTCTCTAGCAGCGCGAGGCGGTCCAGCAGCTCGGCTTTGTCACGCTGCAAGACCTCCAGTCGTCTCTTCTCCTCGCTCTTCCTCACGTCCTCGGAGGCTCCTGCCATGACCCAGTCCCCGTCCTTCGGGGCGGCGGCGGCCGCTTCCCCAGTCGGTGCTGCGGACGGTTGTCCTGGCGCAGCTCCGTCTGGGATGTTCCCGGAAGGCCCTCCGGAAACATTTGATCCTTTCGTCTTCGATGCCCCCTTCGCCGACGGCGCCGCCGCGGCGTCCACCACGAATACCGGATGGGCCTTCACAGGGCCACCAGTTGGAGAGAAGTCCGGCTTCTCGCAGCGGCGCGTGTAGAGGTTGAGGCGCACGATGCGGTCCGTTTTCGTGATGAAGTGGATGGTCGCCGGCGGCGTCAGGTAATCCCTAAAGATGTCCTGGCGCGGGTACCAGCAGATGAAGATCTCGTCAACTTCCTCCGGCGTGAACGGCTGCTCCTTACCCTCACGCCGCTGATCCTCATCGTCCTCGCTGGCCTCATCCTCCTCACTGGCCTCATCCTCCTTCTTCACCTCCGCGCTGCTCCTCGCCTTCCTCTCCTCTACCTTCGCACCGCAGCCTGCCGGCGCGCTCCGCGACCTCGAACGCGATGAGAATCGGCCATGCGAAGGAGGAGCGCGATGATCACGGCGAAGAGCACCACGATCTCGGTGGCGATCGTCACGACGATCTCGGTGATGATCGTCACGATGCTTGGTGTCACGGTTTCCGCCCTCGCAGCGCTGATCGTCGCGGTGCTTGGTGCCCCGGTTTCCGCCCTCGCGGCGCTGATCATCGCGGTGCTTGGTGCCCCGGCCGCCCGTCACGATCTTGAGCATGGTCGCGGTGATCTCGTCGATGTCCACCTCAGCCGCCGCACACGGCTTCGACGTGGTCAGCTGCAGCCGGATAAGCCGGCCCTGGACGAAGTCGATGGCCTCGAAGCGGCCCTGCTTGAAGAAGATGACCTTCTTGCTCTCCACGCGCTCCACGATGTGGTGGACCATCGCAAGGTCGGGAACTCCAACTCCACGCTGTGGCCTTTGTCGTGCGTGTTGGCCAGGATGCGGTGGCAGCGCACGCATGCATCGCCATGCTGATCCTCGCCGCGCCTTGCGAGGCTGCGCGCACGTCCAAGTTCATCGCTGCCCTGCCCGAGTCCGGGGCCATTGTCGGTTTTCTGGCGTGAACGTGTTGCAGGCGCACTCTGGTGTCGAATGTTCCCGGCGGAACTCCCGGGAACATCGGCTCGGACCTCTCCCGAATGCCTCCGGGCAGGCGCCGACAGGGGGGCGCGGCGCCATGGCACGCGGCCGCGGCGCTCCTCTCCGCTGGCAACCATGCCAACCCAGTGGATGACCGGCCCGTGCACCTGCCTTGGCACTGGCGGCTTCGCTGAGCTCCGCTGGTTGGACGATGCCGGCTGGCCACTCTTAGGGCCACTCTTGTTGTACGGCTCGCGCTCGCCGCTCTTCACCTTGGGGCACTCCGGGTCGCCGCGCCAGTGGCTGGACTGATCACAGTCAGCGCACCGGCTGTTGGCCTTGCGCTGGTCAGTCGTCTTGCGGCTGGCCTGGAAGGAGCCGCTGGCATTGATCTTCTTGGGGTCCCGCTGCCGAGGGGCAACGAAACCGCGTTTCTGACGTTGTACTGCCGTCTTCTGCTTGGCCCTCCAGCCTGCCAAGAACGCCTCCTGTAGATCCTCCGGTGCCTCGTACTCCTCGTCGTCGGGCCCGTCGTCGTCCGGCCCCAGCTCGTCGTCGACCTCGGCGCCGTCCTCGAAGAAGATCCCCTCGCCAGCTCCGGGGTCTCCGTCGTCCTGGTCGTCTGCTTCGTCCTCGTCGTGCTGCGTCTCCTCCAGGTCGTCGTCGTGTTCGTCGTAGTCGTCGCCGTTCTCCACCTCGTGCACCTGCTGGCCAGGGCGTCCTCGAAGTGCGAATGGCCTACAAGCCTGGGGAGGGGGCGGGAAACGACCACCCGAGCTTCCGGAGGAGCGCCCGTGCTCGCGCTGCGCCGCCGCAAACGGCAAGCGGCGAGGAAGCACATAGCGTTTCTCGGTGTCGTGCACCCTCGAGTAGGCGGCCTTCAACACGACCTCCATGCGCTTCGAGTCGTAGACGCCGCCGCAGTTGAAGAGCACCTGCGTGCGCTCCCTTTGCGACAGCCCAGCACCACGGAGCATCTTGCTCGCCAGCGCGCGGTCGCTGATAGCGGAGGTAGGGTCCTCGAGCTGCAGCTCCATGCGCTTCTTCCTCAAGTACGTCGTCCAGTCCATGATGGGCTGTCCTGCTCGTCGGTGTGCACGCTCCCATTCCTGATGCACCTGGTCCAGGCGCTCGTGGTCCATCTTCTCGAAGGCGTCGTCGAAGATGGCGAAGATGGTCTCGAGCGTGTCCTCTCGCCGGAGGTCCGCCGAATCCAGAACTTCGATGAGCTCCTTGGCCCGACCGGTCACCTGGCTGAAGATGATCAGGCCCAGCTCCACGTCGGAGAGCTGGTTGAGGCTGCGGATGACCTCCACAGCCTTGCGCCACTCCCGGTACTTCTTGGTGCTCGTGCCGACGGCGCCGTCGAACTCCGGGAGCTTCACCTGCGACAGCAGTATACGCGCACGTCTGGGACCACTGTCGCCACCGCGATCCCGCTGCAAGGCCAGGAGCTCCCGCTGGGTCTCGGCCATCACGCGCAGGACCGCGTGCAGGTCCGGAGGACCTGCGCCGGCGGAGGACTCCGCCTCCGCGTCAGAGCCGTCGTGGCTGCCAGCCATGGCGGCGCGCGGGGTGGACGCAGCCATCCGTGCAGAGCACGCAGTGCGTCCGCTGGAGCTTACAAGCTCCGCTACCAATGTGAGTGCAAATCTTTTCACGCGGGCCGCGCGGCGGCCGACTTGCGGGTGCAGTCCCAGGGCCCTAGGACTAGGGCCAAATGGCGGCGGGCAGCGTGCGCGCAGCAAGCAAGCAGACTATGCACAGAACGTTCCATCCGTGCATCCTGGCTGTAACGACGCTACAGGGCGGCAGAGGGGCAGAGAGGCTGCACTCTTCACATCTTGGAGGTCTCCTGGGGCCGTCTCGGGCCCCATGGCTCAAAAGAGGGGGGAAACGAGTTCAGGTACCCCCCATCGGAGGCTCAAACAGGGCGTCTTGGATCCCTTTTGAGGCGCTCTTGGGGCGCTCTTGGGGCGCTCATTGGGCCCTCTTGGGGCCCTCATGGGCCCCTCTTAGGACGGTCCTGGGTAATCTTTGGGCTATGTGGAGGTTTCTGAAGCCAATCGGAAGCGCAAAGGCGAGAACGCAACAACATTGTTTTTTTTTGTAGGTTTTGAGGCTATTTTGGCTTCTGGGGGAGGTCCTGGAGGGCTCGAATAGCACTTGGCATCGTCTTGGGGCCCTCTTGAGGTCTCTTGGACGTGTATCTTGGATGCCAGCTTGCGCTCTCATAGCCCCTCTTGGAGCCATCTTGGGCCATCTTGGACGCTCTAACCCCTTGTGGGGCGCCCCTTCCAGGCCCAGGGGACGGGGTAGAGGGGTGGGGGGACCCCCTCCCCCGAGCAGGGGACCGAGGGAGCTTGGCAGAGAGAAGACACATCTCGTGAAACCACCTCCCGCGCCCAGAGGGCCGGTGAGACTTGGTGTGTGTGTGTGTGTGTGTGTGTGTGTGTTGGCGTGTGTGTGTGTGTGTGCGTTGTGGGGCTCCTCCTCCTTCCGTGCATCGCGGCCTTCAATTGCATTCAGCGTGTCCCCTGTTGCCATTCCGCCGGAGCCAGTCGACCTCTGCCCAGCCGCAGACGCGAATACATAAATATGTATATATATATATATATATGTGTGTGTGTGTGTGTGTGTGTGTGTGTGTGGGAGGGGCGGGGCGAGGGCGAGGGCGGGGGCGGGGGCGAAGGCGGGGGTGGGGGCCGCGATGCCGACCGTGCGCCGCGCCGCCGAGGTGATGCCACCGCCTCCCGTGGGCTTCTTTCCGGGCTACCCCAACATGGGCGACGTGGTGAGCCGCCTGGAGGCCGCTGAACTCGCAGGGGGAGGGGGGGCAGCAGGAGGAGGAGGAGGAGGAGGAGGAGGAGGAGGAGGAGGAGGAGGAGGAGGAGAATGACGGCGACGGCCAGTGATATTCAATCCAGATTATTCGTATTTGAAGTTTTTTGCGCTTCTTGTGCTTGTGCCTCCAGCGGCCTCCAGACGGTCGGATACATCCGAGGGGTAGAAGGAGGTGGAGGAGGAGGAGAAGGAGGAACGACTGGAGCAGGAGGGATCGGTGGGAAAAGGGTTCACTTTCGGTCGGGCGGGATGGAAGACCCAGAGGTGAGGGATGATGTGATGCTGCTGCTGCTGGCACTGCTCCTGATTATGACGAGGATGACAAGGATGCTGAGTGTGAGGATGCGGACGAGGGAGATGCTGCTGCTGCTGGCTGCTGTTGATGATGCTGATGCTGCTGCAGCTGATGATTATGATGATGACGATGGGATGATGATGATGATGATGATGATGATGATGATGATGCTGGTGATGATGGTGATGGTGAAGATGGTTATGATAACGATAATGATGCTGATTCTGATGACGATTCTGATGCTGATGATGGTGATGCTGATGCTGACGATGATGTTGGTGATGGTGATGGTGATGATGATTATGCTGATGATGCTGATGATGCTGATGATGATGATGATGATGATGTTGTTGATGATGACGATGATGCTGATGCCGATGCCGATGGCGACGCTGATGATGCAGATTCTGATGATGCTGTTGCTGCTGATGATGCTGCTGCTGATGATGACAATGCTGATGATGCTCAATCTGCTGATGATGATGAATGCCCAGAGATGAGGCATGATGTGACGCCCCTGTTGCCGACACTGCTTCTGATTCTGACGAGGATGGTGATGATGATGAGCTTGAGGATGCGAACGAGGGAGATGCTGCTGTTGCTGCCGTTGATGATGATACTCATGCGACGTTGATGATGTTGATGATCATGGTTGTGATGATGACGATGATGATGATGTTGTTGACGGTGATGATGATGTTGATGTTGATGATGATGGCGATGCTGCTGATGCTGTTGATGATGCTGTTGCTGATGCTGAGGATAATGGTGATTGTGCTGGTGATAGTGATGCCGATTGTGATTATGCTGATGATGATGCTGACGACGTTTCTGATGCTGATGACTCCGAACTCCGATGATGATGATGATGTTGATGATGATGCTGATGATGATGCTGGTGAGTATGATGATGATGACGACGGTCATGATGACGATGACGATGATGACGATGATGCTGCTGCTGCTGCTGATGATGATGATGATGATAGTGATAATGATGATGATGTCGATGATGACGCTGATGATGACGATTCTGATGCCGACGACGACGGTGATGCTGATGCTGCTGATGATGCTGCTGATGATGCTCATGATGATGCAGCTGATGCTGATGCTGGTGCTGATGCTGATGACGACGATGCTGATGCTGATGATGCTGTTGCTGATGTTGCTGCTGATGATGTTGAGGTTGACGATGATGCTGATGTTGCTGATGATGATGATGATGATGATGATGATGATACTGCCGCTGATGATCTTGGGCATGCCGATGCTGATGGGTTGATGATGATGCTGATGATGCTGATTCTTCGTCTTCTTCATCTTCTTATATTGTCACTGCAATGCTGCTGCTGACGATGATGATGATGCTGCTAATGCTTATGATGATGGTGCTGATGATGCTGCTGATGCTGCTGATGACGATGATGATGATGATGATGATGATGATGATGCTGATGCTGATGCTGATGCTGATGCTGATGCGGATGATGATGCTGATGCGGATGATGATGATGATGTTGATGATGCTGATGCTGCTGATGCTGATGCTGATGCTGATGATGCTTTTGATGGTGATGTTGTTGGTACTGTTGATGCTGATGATGCTGATGATTCTGATGCTGATATTGATGCTGAACATGCTGATGAGTATGATAATGATGATGCTGCTGACGGTGATGATGATGATGAAGATGATGATGCTGATGCTGCTGCTGATGCTGATGATGCTGATGATGGGACTGCTGATGATGATGTTGTTGATGATGATGATGATGATGCTGCTGATGTTGATGGTGATAAAACTGATGACGTGGAGGACAGGAAGGATGATGATAAGGAGGATGAGGAGGACCAGGAGCAGGAGCATGATGCTGCTGCTGATGATGATGATTATGATGCTGATAATGATGATGCGGATGATGATACTGATGATGATGATGCGGGCGATGATGTTGATGCTGCTGATGATGAGGCTGATGATGATGCTGATGATGATGATGGTGATGATGGTGATGATGCGGATGATGATGTTGATGAGGATGATGACGATGATGATGATGTTGATGCTGATGCTGCTGCTGATGATGATGATGATGAGGAGGAGGAGGAGGCGGCGGAGGCGGAGGAGGAGGAGGAGGATGAGGAGGAGGACAGCGAGAGGGATGATGATGCTGATGATGATGATGCTGCTGATGCTGATGCTGATGCTGATGCTGATGATGATGATGATGATGATGATGATGATGATGATGATGCTGATGATGATGATGATGATGATGATGATGATGATGTGGATGATGCTGATGATGATGATGATGATGATGATGATGATGATGCTGATGATGATGATGATGATGATGATGCTGATCATGATGAGCAGGAGGAGGAGGAGGAGGAGGAGGTGGAGGTCGAGGATGAGGAGGAGGAGGGAGGATGCGGAAGAGGAGCAGGAGGAGGTTGTGGTGCAGGAGGAGAAGGATGATAAGAACGAGCGGGATATGTAGGAGGGAGAGGGAAGAGAGGAATGAAGGAGTGTTGAAGGAGCAGCAATGAGGTCTGGTTGCCCCCTTACGCTCTCAGTCCCCATCGATTCTTCCCTCCCTCACTCCCTAGTTTTGCCAACCTGCACACGCACACACACACACACACCGAATACGCCAACGGCGGGTCACCGCCGCCCCCTGCCTTTCTGCAAACGCCCATGCGGCCAAACGTTGGGTCAACGCTTAGCCAAGCAATTTACCTACTCGTTTCCCCAGTCGGGGTGGAAACCTGGGGGGGGGGGTCCACCTGGGGCAGGACGGGGGAGGGGAGGAGTATGAGGATGAGGATGAGGATGAGGATGAGGATGATGAGGAGGAGGAGGATGAGGAGGAGGAGGAGGAGGAGAAGGCGGAGGCGGGGGCGGTGGCGGAGGCGGAGGCGGAGGCGGAGGCGGAGGAGGAGGCGGAGGAGGAGGAGGAGGAGGATACGATACATAATATGAATAGTAGTAGTAATCATAATAATAGTAATGCTACTGATCGGAAGCATGCTAATACTCATATTATTAAGAATAAGAGTACGACGAACACTGCGAATCAGTTTATTACGAAGAAGAACAATACGAATACGAAGCATGATCATATCAGTACTAGTACCATTTTGACGACTAGAAATACAATCAATAAGAAGACGACTACCAGTAGTACAACTGACAATAATAACACTCGCAGAGCTAACCATGCTACTATGTTCATACTAAGAAAAGCATCAGCAATACGGACAATGCTAGTTCACTAAGAAGGAGTAATAATACGGATGCACATACCATCTCCTCTAGTAGTACTCGTACTACTTTCATTACGCACATACTAATACTCATACTACTACTACGGATACCAACAACAATATTACTACTACCAATACTAGTAAAATGCTACTAGTGCTACGGATTATGCTGATAATGATAAGAAGGATAAAGCTACAATCAACACTACTACTACTACTACTACTACTACTACTACTACTACTATTACTGCTACTGCTACTGCTACTGCTACTACTACGACGACTACGACGACTACTACTACGACGACGACGACTACTACTACTACTACTACTACTACCTATACTACCTATACTACCTATACTACCTATACTACCTACTACTACTACTACTACTACTATTACTACTACTACTTCTATTACTACTACTAATATTATTATGATGAATAATAATACTAATATTCCATACCATATCATCATTACCACGAATAATACGAATATGGCGGATCATGCGAATACTTATGCTAATCGTACACATAACCATACAACTCATACAGCTAATAATAACACTACTACAAATAATCAGCGGAGGAGGAAGAGCATGAGGGGGGAGGAGGAGGAGGAGGAGGGGGAGGAGGAGGAGGAGGAGGAGGAGAAGGAGGAGGAGGAGCAGGAGGAAGAGGAGGAGGAGGAGGAGGACGAGGAGAAGGCCTCTTGGGGGCCTTTTGCGGAAATCTGGCGTCGTTTTGGAGCCCTTTGGGGCTGCGTTGAGGCCATCTTGGGCCATCCTGGCCTTCATGGAGGGTACTTATTTTGGACTGTCTTGGAGGTCGTACAGGGCCATCCTGGCTGACTTTGAGGCTGTCTTGCCTCTCCTGGAGCCCATCTTGGGCCGTATTGGAGGCAATCTCCAACTTCTGTGCCTCGCCAGGTGCCTCTTGTCGCGAGCGACGACCACATCCGTATCCGTGCCCTGGATCCATGGGGCTTGCTTGGGCTGGCGTGTCCATATCGCATGGCTGCGGATGTGGACATGTTTACCGCCCACGATCTTGGGACTGCCGGGGCCGCCATGGGCACACCCTGGGCCAGGACCCCTTCCGTCGGCGCCCACTCCGCCGTGCTGCAGGCGCGAGGGACGCCCTCGGTGCCCACCCGCTCCCCGGCCGGCCTCGCGGCGACCCCGACAGGGCCGCCTACGATCCGATTCGATGCGATTCGATTCGCCGGCTGGGGCCGCGATTCCAATTCGATGCGACCCAGCTCTATTCACCGGCATCGGCGAGGGCCAGCCAGAAGTGGGGCGTGGCGATTCGATTCGGGACGATTCGCTAGCGATTCGATCCGCTCTCGATCCGATTCGATTTCGCGATCCGATCCGGCGCAGACCCGCCCCGACGAGGCCGAGCTGCAGCAGAGACTGGCGGAGGTCGAGCTTTCCGATCAGGACCCCTCGGCCCGCAGGGTGTGCGGGGGGGCGGGGGGGAGGGGAGGGAGGGCGGCACGGAGAGCCCTGAGGCCGCGGGCGCTGTCCGTCTGCGACAGCACGTGGGACCGCCCCACGGCAGCCGCTGCCCGTTTTTTTCTTGTTGTGCTGCACCGCTCGCTCGGGAGGGAGGAGGGAGGAAGGGCAAGCGGGAGGGCGCAAGGCAGTGGGCGGGTGTGGGGGGGGGGGTAGACCCGCTCCTCCCGCGAACCTCTGCGCCGCCGACCGCTCCGGTCCGCGCCGGGGACCCCTTCGCCCGCCCACCGCCTCGCCCGCGCACCGCTCCGGCGCGCCGCCGCGCCGGCGCGCCGCCTCGCCCGAGCGCCCGCCCGCCCGCCCGCCCGACAGGGTCTCCGCCCGCTCGCTCGCGCGCAGGCCTGCGCGCACCGAGGAGGAAGGGAGGGGGGGCCTCAACTCGAGGATAGGCCTCAAGGAGGAGGAGGAGGAGGAGGAGGGGGAGGGGGAGGAGGAGGAGGAAGGGAGGAGGAGGGCACCAACTGCACACCCGCACCGATCCTGGGCCCAGGCCGATCCTGGGCCCAGGATCGGTGTGCATGTGCCTTCCTGCCCATGGCAGGGCGGCGTGTGCACCGCCCACTGGGCCCAGGGTGGTCCTGGGCCCAGGAGCGCTGCTGGTGCAGAGCCAGTGCCCGCCGATCAAGCCCGCCCGCCCGCCCTCCCGTCATCGGCGTCCCCCCAGCGTACTACTACTGTGTGTGCGCCGCCCCGCCAGGGGCGACGCGCGCACCGAGAAATCTGGCAGCATGTGCGTCGTGGCAGGCGCTCTCTGGCTACACCGCTTGGGAAATTACACATATATACATATATATATATATATATATATATATATACTAAGATGGGTCTGCTATCTGATGGGCCAGCTGTCCACCACCACCACCGCCACCATAAGTTGGAGGGGGAGGGGTCCTCTTCCTGCCCCTCCTCCTCCTCCTCCTCCTCCCTCCTCGTCCTCCTCCTTCCCCCCTCCAACTTATGGTGGTGGTGTTGGAAAACAGGCCCATCACTACATGTTCGGGGCGGGCGCGCGCCTCCAGGCCCGCATGTCTCTGCGCGTCCCACGTCCGGGCCCGTCCGCCCGCGGGCGAGCCCGCCCGCCCCCCCCCGCTCAAAGGGGCCCGCCCGCCAGGCCGACCGCCGAGGGCCCGCCCGCCCGCCCCCTGCGCAGAGGCCCGCCCCGCGTCTCGGCACCCCGCCCGCCCTTGGCCAGGCGGGGCCAGGGCAGGGCAGGGGAGGGGAGGGAGGGGAGGGGGGGGAGGGGAGGGGAGGCAAGCTAGGTGCGCTCGCGTCATATCTGACATCCTACCCTCCCTCCCATCCCTTACCATGGCGCAGATCCCCTCTCTACTCGCACAGTCGGATGTCGAGCAGGGCAATGATCCCGAAAGGGTACTCGATGCATTGTAGAGCACGGCGTGGCATGGCGTAGAAGAGCACCGCAAAGCGTAGTATGTCACAGCATGGCGTGGCGTGGCGTAGTGAATAATTGCATCACAAAGCTTTGCAACGCAAAGCATGGCATCGCACAGCGGCCCCGAACATAACATTACATATGGCGTTGAAGATCAAAGCGTAGCATGGCATAGCACGACGTGGCACTTAAGCACTGCATATCACAGCTTCAGCTGGAGGCATGGCATCGCGCAGCGGAACTGCATTGCATGCCGTGTCATGGCACGGGAAATGACGCCAGCGCTGCAGCGGGAGCACGATTCGGAACGAGCGGAAGCGCAGAAATGAGGCCAGCGCTGCAGCGGGAGCACGAGTCGGAACGAGCGGAAGCACGGAAATGAGGCCAGCGCTGCAGCGGGGGAGCACGATTCGGAACGAGCGGAGCCCGAAAATGATGCCGGCGCTCAGCGAGAGCGCATTTTGAAAAAGAATGAAGGCGAAAACCAACCGGGGAATCCTGTGTGTAAAAAAACAGTACGCGGGGGGGGGGGGGCGAATATTCCCAAACCGTCATGGGAAGGAGAGAGAGTAGTATTCATATTTAGAAAAATTGTGAGGGAGGGGAGGGGAGGGGGGGGAGGGGGGGGGGGGAGGGGAGGGGAGGGCCAGGGCAGCAGAGCTCGAGCAGGGGAGCGACGGCAGCATATACTTGCCCCAGCGTGAGTTCCTCCGCACGTGGGATCTGCAGACGAAGGCGCAGAGCTTGTTCGTGGAGCTTCCAAAGTGCTGCGCATGTGCCATGGGTTCGGCGATAATCTATGTATGTATGCATGCATGCATGTAATGTAAGTATGTCTGTCTGTCTGTATGCATGCATGCATGCATGTATGTATGCATGTATATGTATATATGTATAGGTATATGTATGTGCATATGTATATGATTTTGTATATGAGTATGTATATATGTATATGTGTATGTATATGCATATGTATTTGTACTTGTATATGTATGTGTATATATATGTGTATGTTTATATATATATATGTGTATATGTGTATGTATATGTATATGTAATTGCATGTGTACATATACATGTATATGTATACGCACATGCAAATGTACAGGTACATGTATATGCATTTGTATGTGTATATGTTCATTTATAGGTATAGGCATAGGTATAGGTATATGTATAAGTTTATGTTATGTATGTGTATATGCATATGTATATGTATATTAATGCACATGCATATGCATTTGTATATGTATATGTATATTCACATATTTCTATGTATATGTATATGTATATGCATGTGTATATGTATAGGCATATGTACATGTATGTGTATATGGCTATGCATATGTATACGTACGTGTATATGCAGACGTATATGTATATGTGTTCATGCATACGGATATGTTTATGTTTATGTAACTCTATATTTATATATGTATATGTGTACGTATAGGTATATGCATATGTATATTTACATGTATATGCATATGTATATGTATATGTATATGTTTAGGTATATGTATAGGTATAGGTATATGTATATCTATATGTAGATGTATATTTATGTGTATATGTATATGTACATATATATATGTACATGTATATGCATATGCATGTGCATGTGCATGTGTATATGTGTATGTCCATGTATACGTATTTGTATATGTATACGTATATGTATATGTATATGTATATGTATATGTTTTTTTGTATACGTATATGTATATGTATATGTATATGTATATATCTCTATATATATATATATGTAAATGTATAGGTACATGTGTAGGCATATGTATAGGTATAGGTATATGTATATGAATTTGTATATGCATATGCATATATACATGTATATGTATATGTATATGTATATGTATATTTATACATAAGTATAGGTATATGTAAATTTACATGCATATGTATATGTATATGTACATGCATAAATATGTATATGTATATGTATATGTATATATATACATATATTCATGAATATGTATATGTATATGTACATGTATATGTATATGTATATGGTTATGTTTATGTTTATGTTTATGTATAGTATAGTATATATATAAATATATATTACAGGTATGGATATGTGTATGCATACATATGTATGTATGTATGTATGTATGTAGTCATGCATGCATGCATGTATGTATGTATATATATATATATATATATATCAGTTTTGGGGTAAAACAAGTCTGTAGTCGATCCTTTACACGAGGAGTTGCAGAGTGTTCGGGACTGCTCCCACAGCGTTCCAGGGCGCTCTGGAACGGTTGAGCCGCCCGATGTATCCTCCAGAACCGCCTGGTCTCAGAGATTCCCGATTCCTAGGCACTTCGACATGATTCCTCCGATCCGCGGCCCCAGAGGTCCCGACCCCTTCCGCGGGGGTGTTTTTTCGTCCCGGATCTATTTTTGATGGTCCCCAGGCCCGACAACGGACCCTGGAGTCCGAAATCTGGGAAAGCCCGCCAGGTTGACACACATCATATCCTTGTAGATCTGGATTTGTCCCGGTCCTGGCTTCGTCTTGCGGTCCCCAGCGACAGAGTCTGCCAGCGAAGCGGTCTGCTGGCGAAGCGAATTTGGATTCGGGCGAGGCGGTCTGTTGGCGAAGTTGCTTCGTGCCAGAGGGAGGGGGGAGGCCAAGAGGGAGGAAGAAAGGGAATGAGGGAGGGAGGGAGATGAGGAGAGTGGAGGGAGGAAGACGGGAAGACGGAGGGGAAGGATAGGGAGGGTGAGGGGTGGGCACGGGGGAGGAGGACGAGGGGCGGACAAGAGGGAGCAGGGAGGGATGGAGGGCAATGGAGAGCAAAAAGGAGGGACGTAGGTGCTCAGACTGCTCCATGTTCTGCTGCAGCATGTGTCGCGGAGTTGCCACCAGTGTCCTCGCTGTGGGTGATAGTCGGCGGCCAGCGAGGGGGAAGTGAGAAGGGGCGGGCCTTCTCAGAAGGCTCGGAAGTTCCCCGGCCTTCTGAGAAGTTGTCTGAGCCTTCCCCGAAGACACAAGACGCTCGTCAGGAGGCGCGGGGGCTTCTGAGAAGCCCCGCCGCCTTCTGAGGAGGCCTTCTCCTTCTCAATTTGCCCCCCTCGCTTGCCGCCGAGATAGGACAAGGTCGACATCAACAGGGCAATGGACGAGCTGCAGGAAACGGTGCCCCGCCGCGCTCCCGGCTCCTCCCCGCCCCCCCTCTCCTCCGCCGTCGCCCTCGCCGCCGTCGTCGCCGTCTGGGCCTTGGCCTTCAAGCCTCTCCTTCGCCCTCGCCGCCCTCATCGCCGCCGCCGTCGACCCCCCCCTGCCGGGCGGAGAGTTCGGTAGCAGATCATGGGCGTCTTTGGCGTCGATTGGCGTCGATTTGGCGTCTGGGAGTCGATGAGATGGCGCCGATTGGCGCCGATGCGGCGCCGATGCGGCGTCGATGCGGCGCCGATGCGGCGTCGATGCCGCGTCGATTGGGCGCCGATTTGGCGCCGATTTGGCGCCGATTCGCAAGAGGCCGACGACATGGCGTGGGAGGCTGCCGCGAGCTGCCGCCGCAGGAGCGGCCCCCTCCCCCGCCCAGGAGGCGCTCCGCCGCCGTTCCGCGCCGGGGGGGGGGGGGGGGCGCCGCCTCTCGGCGGCGCCGGGGCCTCCTCGCGGCTCCTGGAGGGAGGGCTCCTCGCTGTCTCCGGCCTCGTCCTCGTCCTCGACCTCGTCCTCGTCCTCGCAGGAGGCCGAGGCGGTCCGCCGCCGTTCCGCGCTGGGGGGGGTCCTCGTCCTCGTCCTCGTCCTCGCCCTCGCCCTCGCCGTCCTCGTCCTCGTCCTCGTCCTCGTCCTCGCCCTCGCGGGCCGCTGCTCGGGAGGGCTCCTCCGTGCCGCCCCTCCCGCCGCGGCCCCTGCGCGTCCGGGCCCTCGGCCCCTCCTCGAGGCAGGGCCGCCGGCGCCCCGGCGTGGCCCTGCGGAGCTCCGCGCGCAGCTTCCTCGGGTCGGCGTGGCCCTCCCCCCCCCCCGAGGCGCGCTTCGCGTCGCAGGCCTAGAAGTTGACACCAGCACCAAGATCGGCGGTGTGCCTCCACCGAGGGAAGACGATCCTGATCTCGGTGATGGTGGTAATATTCTGGCTTCCACGGTGACCGAAATATTACCACCAACACCGAAATCTAGGATCATCTGCCCCATGTGCAGGCAACCCCCTGTGCTGGTGTTGGTGCCAATTTCCAGGCCTCTTATCGCGCGCCCAGAGGGGGCCGTGCCTTCGAGAGCCCAGGGCTCGCTAGGGACTGGTCTCCCCCCCCAAAACGGCGAGATTCCGTTTCAGACCCTCCCGAAGCCGTCCGAAGAGCCTCCTGGAACCTTCCCCGGAGGGTTTTCGGAGGGTTTCGGGAGGGTTTCGGCTGTCTTGGAAGGAGACCAGTCCCTAGCGAATCCTGGACTCTCTGAGCTGTGCATCTGTGCGGGGCTCCAAGGACGGGGGTCAATGCAAGCGGG